ATAATTGCTCATTCCCTCTGACATAAAATGCATATTGATCTGACTGACAACTTACATGGGCATTGTCTGCCTGGGTTGGAAACATCTGCTTTGTTTGCTTAGGGATGGGAGAGTGAGATAAAAGAAGCAAACAAGAAAAGATGCTTATCGCTACATTCCCCTCTATAGATGGTTTTGAAAATCGGTATATGTATTTTTTTTTGAAGTAGAAATTTCAAAATTATTACAAAAAAAGTCAGTTGAAGACAGAAAAAAGTTCATTATATCCACAAAAAATAACATTATCCGCGTACAGCAAGGCACATGACCGAACATTTCATTCACTATAAACCGCATTCACTATACTGTACATCATAAAATTCTGTAAAAAACTACAATAGATAATTTGAAAAGTTATTTTTCAATGAGAATAGATTGTTAAGGTACTGTGCAATGAAATTTTTTTTAAAAAAAGAGAAAAATTAAGAAAAATTTTATTTTTCATCAAAAATTAAAAAACAAAGAAAAAAAGAACTTTGTTCATGTAAAACTCCAGGATTCAAATAAATTTACAAGATTTGCATTTAATAAAAAAGTAAAATATAACTACAACTAAAATCTCAACTCTAATTGAAGATAAATTGTATTTAATTAATGTAGAAACATTTTTCTGCAATTTTGATAGAATTTTTTAATGATGAAATCAGGCAACTAAGAAGGAAATGAGAAGGAAATATAGTATAGATCTAGTAATGTTAGTCAAACTGAAACAAAGTTTGTTGAAGAATCGTTTTAGTCACAAAATAATAAACAAATAGAAACTTTCGCATTACTGCTTGCCACAAAATATAAAACTTTTTAAAACAGTTTGCAGGATAAAAGCTGAACACTTGCTTTTTCTATTTATTGTTTACGGTTTAAGAAAGATAGAAATCCCGCTCCCAGATTCTTCTAAAATGTGAAATTTTTTGTTTGAACTAATTTTTTTTCTTTGCAGCTGCGTAAATTGAAAGCAGTCCACTGTATGCTTGGAAAAATATTAAATAAATAAAAGACAGTAAAACAAGAAAATAAATACAGTTTATATGGTTAAGTAAAGTTGAATATATGTAATGGTATCATAGACTTACTTTCTGGGCGAGTTTTTCTAGCAATTTACTATAATTAGTTTAAAGATATAAATAAAAGCTTACCTTGTTTTTTTTAAAAACTGAATTGTGAGGCTTAGTGAAGGAATAGATTAAATGGCTATTTAAATCTATTCTTCGATAATTTATTGTATGCAAGTGAAAAAGAAAAATGAAAGTGCGGCCTTTATGCTGTTGCGGTTTATATGATGATATTTGAAATTCTTAGGTGTTTTTTTATTACTATATTGATTATTGTACTATATTAAATTTTCTTTTATTGTATTAATACTACAAGGTGCAAAGTCAAATTTTCAAAAAATAAATAAAAGAAAGTTTTTTTTTAAACACTCAAAAAATATTTTTAAGCATTTTACAAACTAAAAAAACTTTAAAGTAAGTTAGTAAATGAAAATGGCCTCCAATAAGTTTTTATTAAAATTTACTTTAGTATTCTTTTAGTTAAGTATATTTTTAATAAAATGATAAAAAAAAATTACATAATTTTAAAATGTAAATACAATGAGCTTTGAAGCTAAACATTTTTGTCAGAAGTAAATTATCATAGGGTCCTTACACTTATAATATTTTACAAATCTGAGATAATTTAATTTTTTATTTCATTTGCTTTTAAATCAAATCATTAAGAGATGAATTAAAGTGTTTTGGAATAACAAATCTGAATAACACAAGATTTTCCGTTGCATTTAAAATAGTAAAAGCCCCCTCATTTCACACTTTTTTAGAATCTTGCCGCTAAACATTACAGGGCACGTAGCCAAATCCTTCAACAAAAAATAAGCACCTTTTAAGCACCCAAAAATATTTTTAATCACTATATACATAATCAAAATGCAAAATAATTTTCAAAGACTTTACATGATCATGAGAAAATAATAAGTTTCTGACAAAGAACTCTTTTCCTGATTATACTAGCCGTTATAAAATGATAGAGAGATTTTTTGGTTCGATTTCAGAGGGTGGAAAATGAAGTCTGAAATTGAGAATATCTAGCAAAATGCAGAAGAGTTGCACATAAGAAGGCAATAATCTCACAGAACCCAGCTCAATAGATGCACTCCCAAGTATTTAATCAAACATGTAAAATGATTGGCGCTTTCATACGCTACGGACCGACGGTATGCCGAAATTAATTGAAAATTTTTCAATAGAACAATATGAAAAGCACGCTTTTGTATAATACGTGGCGAAAACCGACATCGCCACAAAAAAGAAAATCTAATTTTTAAAAAAAGAAAATTAAGCACTTTAAAAAAAACACCCAATGAAAAAAGCACCTTTAAGGGCTTTTAAATAACAAAATCCCAAAATAAGCACTTTTTAAAAATGCTACGCACCATGTATTAAATTTTTTCATAAAATAAATTGAGAGCACTGAAAATTTTAGAACTAATAATACAATAATAAAAAGTAATAAGTAAATAAAAAAGTAATAAATACAAAAACAATAATTAAGTTCAGTAAAATTTTTAAAATTTATACTATTAGTGGACGGTCCCTTGGTTAAGAATCCAACGTTTAAATANCTGAATTTGAGAATATCTTGCAAAATGCAGAAGAGTTGCACATAAGAAGGCAATAATCTCACAGAACCCTGCTCAATAGACGCACTCCCAAGTATTTAATCAAACATGTAAAATGATTGGTGCTTTCACACGCTATGGACCGACTTTATGCCAAAATGAATTGAAAAATTTTCAATAGAACAATATGAAAAGCACGCTTTTGTATAATACGTGGCGAAAATCGACATGGCCACAAAAAAGAAAATCTCATTTTTAAAAAAAGAAAATTAAGCACTTTTAAAAAAACATCCAATGAAAAAAGCACCTTTAAGGGCTTTTAAATAACAAAATCCCAAAATAAGCACTTTTTAAAAATGCTACGCACCATGAATTAAATTTTTTCATAAAATAAATTGAGAGCACTGAAAATTTTAGAACTAATAATACAATAATAAAAAGTAATAAGTAAATAAAAAAGTAATAAATACAAAAACAATAATTAAGTTCAGTAAAATTTTTAAAATTTATACTATTAGTGGACGGTCCCTTGGTTAAGAATCCAACGTTTAAATATATCAATTAATAATTAACTCTTTTCTTTATTAAATTAAATGAATAAAAAAAAATGAATGAAATTTTGAGGTGATGAACCTTTGCTATTCTTGACTACTCTGGGGCCAACAATTAGTGAATAATCCCTATTCAAAGATTATGGTACTGATCTATGAATAAAATAGCATAAGAAGGCTATCAGCCTGCTATTGACAAAAATGATGGGGCTACCTCAACAATGAAATTAACGAGAGAAATAAAATTTTCGCTCGCAATTAAGGAAAAACATTTGGCAATGTTTAAATAGTCCCCCCGTGACCAGCGAAAAATTAGGGATTTTTCGCTTTGATCTCAGAGGGCGTAAAATGAAGGCTGAAATTGAGAACATGTTGCAAAATGCAGCAGAACTGCACATGAGAGTGCATGAATAAAGCTCAACATAAGCAGACCTGCAAGAATTTCACCAAACACGTAAAAGGATTTGCGGTTTCATACGCTACGGGCCGACGGTATGCCAAAATAGTTGGTCGTTGAATGAATTGTGAAAATGTTAAATAGAAGACTGTGTAAAACACGCTTCTTGCATAATTCGAGGCAAAAATCGACAAGATAAAGACAAAATATGTCACTCTCAAAAGAAAAAAATTAAGCACTTTATAAAAACACTCAATGAAAGAAAGCACTTTTTAAAGGGTTTTTAACAGAGTTCACCCTCGGAATAAAAAAAGGACAGGGGATTTCCATATACAAAAGCACACTTTGAGTTTTGAAAGGGCACTCACTTAATACCGTAAAAATTTACCAAAATGTGTTATATTATGTAATAACAAACTGAGTTTGATCCTTATCAATTTTTAATTTACCCCTTTACTATTTTATGCGTTCATTTCAAAAACTAATCCACACTCATTATTAGTATGAAAGAAAATTTTTTAGTCTATAAAAATAGTTAAAGGCATGCTAAAAGACAATCTCTGTGCAAATTTTTTTTCTTCAAACAAAACTTTAAAAAAAAAAAATTTTTTTTTGATAAAAAGTTTTTAATAACTGGAAAGCTTTTTTCAGTAATTTAAGCTGAAAATTATGAGAAAATAAACATTTAAAGAAGCTTTTTTTTAAAAAAAAGTATAAGTATTCAAAAATAATTTTAAAATTACTTAAATTCATTAATATACTCCTGAAAAAAAAAAGAGAAACTTATATTTAACCAGTTGAAACTAATTCTGACAAAATGAATATTTGTATCAGTAATCAGAATTATTCTATAAACAAAGATAATTTTGCCATTGTTTAATTATCATTTAAACAATGAATTATTTTTAATGAATTATGAACAAAAAGGCTGTGTTTTTTAAAGCCTTATTTTTACAGAAAAAGGCAAATAGGGGGCATCAAAGGGCAGGCAGCCAGCCCTTCAAGAAACGCTTAGGGAGAATACTGCTTTTAATAAACGAGAATCAAAAATAAACACCTTTAAACACTTTTTAAAAAAGCTAAGCACCCTGTATTACTATAACTGTGTATAAGTGAGTTTGATATTTCTATTTCAACTATTCTGTAGCATATTTTAGTAAAGGCTTTGGTCATTATATAGAATGTTGACTGAATATATATGTACATATATATTATAAAAATGTGAGGTATAACAATAAATTTCACTTCCATTTTTAAGCAACGGAAATTAAATAAATTACACCACATTTTTGATGGCTTAAAAATAAAGAATAAAATAATTATGACTAAATTCAAACTTTTATAAAATGAAATTATAATTTAATAAAAATGAAAAATATTTTATAATAAATTTTCTTTTTACCTTGAATATCTTTTGAAGTTTGAGTTCCTATAGACACCTTTTTTACATCAGATGAAGATAATTTTTTCTGCAGGAATAAGAAATATTATCAAAGTTGAAGTAATTTTAATGAAGTAAAGTATTTATAGTTATTTTAAATTCTTATAGTCAGATAGCAGATTAAATTTTGTTGCTATTATTGAGCTGTACCTTGCAAAAACTGAATGTTTTATATAGCTAATATAGAATGACCATCTGTATATGAAATCATACACAGATTGATTGTTAGTCAATGTGAGCTTCTTATATTTTATGGTGAGCTTAAGCTTTTCCAAATTCGCTTGCAAAATAAAAATAATTCCTTGTTTAAACTATTAGAATAAAAATTATATAGACATAGTTTCTAAAGAAGACTTTGCAGCGACATATTTCTTTATGTATTTTTTACCCTAGTAAGATTATAATATAAAATAAACTTAAACCCTGTGCCCCATAAGTTACTTTTTCTAAATAATAAATTAAACTTCACACCAAAAATATTGCTTAGAAATTAACTCCAAATAGGTAAGACTATCCATGCACAAAATATATGGAATTTTAGAAAAATTACAAAAAATAAGAGGTTTTAAACAAATTTAAAAATATATGACAAAAAAAAATAATTTAAAAATACATTTTTCTGTGTTTTCTTTCTATTCAAAAGATGAATTTCAATTCATTTTTTCCCCCAATAAAATCAGTAGAATATATTAATATAACTAGTTAAACAAAACTATAAGTTAAAAGGTATGCATTTAACAGAATTAGTAACCTGGATATCAAAACCGAAAATTTAAGAAAACATCAAAACTAAACTATATATTTAAAAATTTTCCTAATGCCTTACTTGCAAAGAAGGAAAATGTTGTTCTTGTAAATTTTCATTATATTTTAGAAACTCCATAATTGCAGCACTATATAGGCCTTGTTGCTGTAATGATTGGGAGGCTGAAGGTTGGCTTGTTAAAGAAAACCACATAGAAGCGGGTACATACCCACTAAAAAGATATTAATAAACAATAAGAACATTGTTTAAAAAACATTGAAAACACAAAATATTTGAAAAAACATTTTAAGCTAAAGGATTAAAACATTATCAAAAAAACTTATCTTTTTGTTAAATACAGTGAAACCTTATAAAAATAGATATTCACAGGATACAAGTTGTAAAAATAATAATTTTTGTTTCTTTAATATCTAGTAGCATTTATTTGAACATCAAAAGTATAAAGTTAACATTCGAGGTTTAGCAAGTTTGAAAAAATCCACTTGGGTTTTATTAGGTAGGCCCGACTTGAAAAAACCTACTTGAAATGCTAAGAGGGTTTCTTATTAAAAATAATATTTTTATTAAAATTCATTTATGCAGATTTGATTTTGTTTAACTTATTGTGCAGCATAAATTTGTCAAATAGATTTGCATGCTTTATAGGATAATATTTTTAATATTAGTAAAGTAAAAGAAACTGGAATTTATTATTTCATATTACTATTGAAAACTTTAAGCGGGCTTTTTCAAGAAGTAATATTTTAATTAAAATAAATCACATAGAAATTTAAATTATATAGTCAGTAAGGATCAATAGTAGAAAAGTAGTTGTATACTTTAGATGATTAATAAACAGGTTTTTAATAAATAATAGTGGAAGTTGAAGATATATTTTTTTTTTTACCAGTTATAGCACTAAACAGGCTTTTTCAAAGAAATATTAAAAAAATAAAACAAATATTAACACACGTTTAAATAATTTAATACATAGGCATAAATTTTAAAATTGCATTGTTACACACATGTATTAAAATAAACAAACAAATTTTTACAGATATAAAGAGAAGCTGAAATCTTATGACTTTTTGGTATTATCACTATATTTTTTTTCTTAAATAAACTAAACATTTAATCTAACTAAGATTAGACTAACTAAGATAATTTTAAAAAATGTGAAACGTTATATATTTAACAATAAAGAAGATTGAAAGAAATATATATTAGTGATAGTACATTATTTAAACTTATTTTAACTTTGTTATTTGTATTTTATATAAACTTTTGGGATTTATTTCTATTTTTAAGCTTAAACAACACTATTTAATAAATAAAAATATTCACACAGTAAAACTTTAAAGATCAGCGCTAAATGAAAAAACTCAATTTTCCATGGGTTTTTTCAAACCCTGCTAATATTATAATGAACTGCTAATAAATGGAAAAGAAAATATTAAAAAGTGAAACCTACATTTCATGGGTACCAAAGAAGACAATATGGGCAGATCCACTTTTAGTCACTTTAAGGCACTAAAAACAACAAAAAATTATACATTTTCTAAGAAAGTAAATAAATTATTAGAAAAGAAACTAAAATGAATCACTGACAAGTTCCGCTTTAGAAAATAACTATAAAATAAAGGTGGAACAAAAAAAGTAAACAATGGTTTTCAAAAAATAAGTTTAGTAATCATAAGACATCTCACCTTGGCAGGCCAATAAGTGTATCCTTTAACTTTAGCCCATATTACTGAATGCGGTTTGGACTGAAAAAAATAAAATACTAATTTTAATAAAAAGAAACAAAACAGTATGCATGAAATTAAGCATTAAACTTAATGATGTCACTATAATCGAAATTAAATTTTCTTACATTAAAACAACAAAAAAAAAGGTAAAAAAACCCCCCCCAAAATGTTGTGATCGCCTTATTATGATCACTGGTTATCCATTGGTCAAATGCTTTTTCTTTCTGGATTGACTCTGTTAAACGCCACAGCATTTCAAATCATGGATAGCAAAAACTGTCTCAACTGATGTTTGTCGTCGTATCATATCCTGCCTATGTACGTGTTTCAAGACGTCACAAAATACTTCTCCTTCCTCAGCATTCATATTTATATTGAAATCACCGTCAAGCCAGTCATTATATGTTAATAATAAAAAGAATATAAAAATACTATAAATTATTATTATGTAAATACTTTAAAAATGCCTGCTAGTGAAAAGAAAAACATCAGCATAGTGACGTATGAACACTATTTTTACTTTTGAACACAGTTGAGAAGTGCAGACGCCATCAAACCCAGACCAAGACCCATTTTGCCAATGTGCAATTACATCGGTCAATTTTCTTTTTTTAGTAAAAACTAGTTCTTGCCAGTTGATTCCCTCTTTTTTAAGAATTACTAATTTATAAAAATGTAAAATTCAAGTTTGTGTTAGTCAATTGATGAGTAATGATAACTACTGCTTTTGTACTAACTTACTACTAACTTTTACAAAATATAAAAGAAATAAAACTATTCCCCCAAAAAGATGCATCAACTAAACATAAAAAGTTATTTTTAACTAGAAAATATAAAATCTACTGATTATTATGCACTAATACAATAATAAATCTTTAATCAAGGATGATTGTGAACCCAAAAATCCTGAAAATTTCTTGAGTAAAATCATTAATGAAGCAGTTCAAAAAATTAATTGTTGAATGAATAATTAAATCTTTATAAATTTAAATCATTGATATTTTCATAACGGGAAATTCGAAATAAATTATATGCAGTATAATTTAAATTAATAATGATGTTAAAGTTTACTCTTATCTCTAACCACATTTATTATTCTACCAGAAAAAATATTTACAAATGTCAAGTATAAATTCCTGTTCTAATATTTTTAAATAAAATATACAACAGTTTTTATATATAAATGTGATAGACGATTTCTCGAAACTTCTGGACCTTGGACTACCGGAAATTTCGGGATAGCGGTTAGCGAAAAATCCTGACTCTTTCCAAAGCACAATCATCTCTGTTTAATTTTGGTATTCAATCTTTTATGATGGTAAAAAAAAGTTAAAAAGTTTAGGAGATTGTTCTGTTTACTCATTTCAAGTTAGAAAAAAAAAGAAGGGCTGATGATTGATTCAATTTAGGACTTTATTCACTTATAGTGGTTTTGAATAATAATTGAATTGAATACATTACACATGTTAAGGAAAAGAAAGTTCCTTCATCCACTGCATTTGAATTTCTATAAAAATAACAGTCTGTACAAGCTTCTAAACTAGATAACTCTTTGTGCAATTGTTTTACAAGATGCTCAGCACCAACAGCATATTTTGATTTATCTAAAAATAAGAAAAATTATTGTCAAAGTATTACATAATAAATTCCCTCGTGTCATGTAAAATACACATTGAGATTTACTTAACATTTCTTTTAATACAATTATGAAATAAGATTTTGCAATACCTTCATAAAATTCTATTTCCGAATCCAAATTAATCCTCTCAAAAAAGAATAAAATTAGCAGCTTTTTAGCCAGGGTTCAAAGGTAGTCATTAGGTATAATGGGCACCAAAAATTTTTAATTGTATGCACAGCTTCTAAAACACATTTTCTCCAGTGACTCGACGACTGCTCGAGCAACATAATGAATGGTAAGTTAAGAAACATCACACACTTGGAGTCTATGCACTTGTTGAATTTCGTTAACCCTCTTCCAAAATCGTATTTCTGAATTTCTTTTGTGTGGAGTAGAGCATTTTCATTCTTTAGCATTTTTTCATTTTAAACACATGTATGTGAACTCGGAAGATGATACAAGTTATTTCTGGATAAGATTTGGAAAAAGAGAGAGAGAGAGAGAAAGAAAGAAAGGAAAAAAAGAGGTAATAAATTACTTCTAATTTTTTATCAATAAATTTAATATAAGGTGTTGCGTATGTATTTAAAAATAAATAAATAAAAAAATAAAGATAAGTTTATGTGCTTATGCATGCATCTTAAGAATATTCATACTTAGAAAAATTTCTATTACTGTTTTCTTAAAAAAAAAAAAAAATACTTTTGCATNNAAAAAAAAAAAGATAAATATTGTGATTAAAAATATAATTTTAAAATTATGCCTTGCTGATCCATTTCGACAGCTGAAAAAAAATAATATTTTGATGCCATTGAAGTTCGACCGTCACATTTCTTAAATAGTTTTAAACAAAACAATATTTTTAAAATTGTTCAGGACTCTCTGATAAAACACAGTTACTTAATGACACACAGATCTAAAAACAAAGAATCATAATAAGTTGAAGAGAAAATTAGTTAAATAACAAAATATGTTCATTTAACCTCAGTCATATATATTTGCTGTTATGCCTACAATAATGAATCATTAATATATTTTTTAATTGATCCAACAATTCTTCACATCGTTTCAGACATCGAAAATTCTATAATTTAGGCTGATGTCCTCCTTTGAAAAAAGTTGTGTACCATTATATTAAACAAAGTAAAGATTTAATAAAACAAAAAAAATAAATAAATTACAATGTGTCATGATCATTAAGATAAAAACTTAAAATTAGAGTTGGAACATTTCAAGCATGAAAAATTTTTATGCCCTGTGGCAGAACTTTTTCGAGCTATCTGTAACAAAACTGTCTTGCACGAATATCTTTCTGCAAGATATTTTTAATAATAACAAACATATATGTCACTAATTTAAAATAATTATTTTAAAAAATTTTGTTAACAAAAGCGCTGTGTTGTAGATATATAATATTTTTAATTGAACATGTAATAATTTTTCATTTTAATTTTATGGGTGATATTCTCGCATTTTATTGAAGGGGAGGGGAAGTACAAATTATTTCCTTCTTCACATTTTGTAAATAATCATCACAATAAAAAAATATTTAAAAATCTCTAAATCTGTTGTAGAAAAAAAAAAAGAAAGATCGAAGACGAAATCATGCGAATTGGAAGCCTCAAAAAGAGGTAATCCAAATGTATAATGAACAATTGTAATATCGGATTTAAAAGCTATTGAGAAAACTGCCAAAAATTCGATAGAATCATTGCCTTCAAAAGTAAAAACTCAAATGCACAATTTGAATTTTCCATATTGTGTGAAATATATTGAGGTATTTAAAAACCACGTGAAAATCAATATCAATGACTGCCGAAAATACAAACTCTTCAATAGAAAAATCTTTCTGCAAGAACTCTAACGTTCTGCGATAATATTGCTGCGATTCTGCCAAGTTTTTTTTTTAATGTAGTGCAGGAATGGGGGGGGGGGGGTTTTTATAAANGGGGGGGAAGTATTTTATAAAATTTCACTTTTTTAGCTCAACTTTGGAAAGAAGAAAGCAGAGATTTGAATGCACATTTTGTATTTCAATTTAGAGTCTGCAATATTCCGGCTAAAGATATTGTTTAAACTCTATTTAATTTTTCACCAGTAAGGATGTTCAAGTAAGCAAAAACCATTTAATTTTATGTAATTTTTTTTTAATTGTTTCCAAAATGAATTGAGCTGAACAATTATTTTCAACATTAATCTTAAGCACATATCACTCAATACCTTGTTACAAAATTTTATTCTTTTCCCTGAAATGTGATGATTACCTGAAGACATATATGTTGATAGATTTATTTTATAATCACTTTATAAAAACTATATAAATGCAAAGTCTTACCTCCATATATTATACAGCTGTTGTGATACAACCACTTGAAATCTGTTAAGAAATCTATGGGCTTCTTGTAGGAGTTTGATATTAACTCCTATATATATAAAAAAATAATAATAATTCTAAAGTGCACTAGAAAATTCAGAAGTTGAATTTGCAAGAAAAATAAGTTTATTTGAGTTATGCTGAAAAACAGTATATCATTAGTACTAAGTTCTTAAGATAATGAAAGGAGTCAACTCAAGATTTAACTCTTGTAATTGTGATAATAATTATTGATAAGTGATAAACAAGATTTTTTTTTATACTTAATATTTAATTGGTTAAAAACAATTAAATTTTTTGGTTAAGTAAGTAACAAGTTAATTTTTTGGTTAAAAGTTGTAGTTTAATGGCTACAACTCTTAAATTTCCTTAAGTAATGTGACATATTTCCAAGCTTCTTACTCTATTTTCCTACCCCATCCTATCTTGAAACTCTTTGGAAAACTAAATTTTGATGCAATAAAGTGGTAAATCCAAACACACAATTCATTTCAAATACCAATTAAATAACAAAAAACAAATTAATAAAAACATTTTCTCAAATATTTCACGCAGAAAAATAAATATTTTTGGAAATTTTAATTTGAGAATTTCTACAAACTGATCCTCACTTCCTATTCTAAACCAGAGAGAATTATCATCACCACTAATGGCTTGACAGCCCAGGGTGGGCCTTGGCCTTCTCAAGAAGTTCTTTTCAGGCTAACCTTTTTCCTGCTAGTGTTTTCCAGCTCTTAAGACCAAAAGGTCTTTTTCTAAACCATCTATCCATCTTAAATTTGGCCTGCCTCTTTACAAATGGTCTGGCATTGAAAACTTTTTTTGTGTCGTCCATTCTGATAATGTGGTCTGCCCATTTTATTCTTTGTTGTTTAATAATGGGTGTTATTGAAGCTTGTTTTAATACAGTAGTGAATTATATGAATATCAATTATCTATTAACTTGGATGAGCGTGGGGTGAAAGTAAAAAGGAGGAAATACGAATAAAGTAAAAAAAATATAATAAATATGTGGAAGGTACAATATTCAGAAATTCAACAAAAAAGGATGATTAATCAAATTTAAAGACGCCATGAAAGTTTACCAACACACATAAATTATTTAGAAAACCTATTATTCATATATTATTGTTTTCATATAGTGTTGTTCTTGTGGAAAAACTCAATTGCCATTTTCTTCTCAGTTGTAAATACATACATGGCTGTTTGGAGTACACATCCAACATATTTGTTGGATGTGTACTTTGTTTTGAATTTCAGATCTCAACTATTCGCTGAATATGTAAGCGGTCGTCTGCTAAGAAAAAGCAATGATCATTTTGTGATGGAATATGGGCAGTCTCACAGTGGACTGATCGTTAAGACACAGTTCCCATCAGATCACTGAAGTCAAGCATCACTGGCTGCGGTCAGTGTGCGGGTGGGTGACCACTTGGATCAGTCTGCGTAGGGACCGAGGGTGTGCGGCATTGGTCCTCGTTAAACGGTGCTATCGTAAAGTGCTCGACTTCGCGATTAGGTCGTCGGGCTACTGAAGCGGGGGTGCCATCCCCTCCGCAGAGGATCAAAATTGTGATGGCATGTCTTCGGATCATCCTCCGGGATGTTTCCCAGACCGTCGCCAATAGTCCATTGTGCAGCTCTAGTGCAACGTAAATGAATAACATTAACAACAGGAAATATTATATTCAACTTATTTTAAAAGTATTATTTCTAATCATTCTCTTTTAGACATTTTCTTCACATAAAAATTACTCACAATTTTAAAATAAATGCTCCTTATCAGCTTGTAATTTGTTCTATTCGATTGAGTGTAAAAAAAGAATAAAAATTGGTACATAACATTAAATTTCTAATTTATTAAACGATTGTTGATTCTTGATTACATTGATTACAAAATATTAAAATAACTATTTTTTAAGAAACTTTGCTGTGATTGACAATAACGTCCTTTTCAGAATCAGCGTCAAAAATTTAAAAAAAGCTATTAGTTTCATGAAGTCTGACAAAAAGTTTAAAAATATAGACTTGGTTTATAGAGTTTAAAGATTTGTAAAAAAACAAAGAAAGAAATCTGATGTATAATAAGTGTTCATAATACCAGAGATGGGAAGTGGGACACATCAATACGAAACAGCAAATTCTGAGATTTATAGCAAAATTACAACAAATTGTAGCAGCAAAATTAAGATTTTGTTTAAAATACAATATATATATATATACAGTCAAACCCCGTTATAGTGAACCTTCAAGAGACCGGAATTTCTGTTCACTATAGCCGGGAGTTCACTATATCCGTTACACAGACAATTTAACTAATGATTCCCAAACTCCTCCCTTTTATCATACAATATTCAAATAAATGACTGAAAAATATTATGTAGTAGCAAAAAATGTGTTATTTTTTTATTACTCTTCGTCTTGCGTACAAAAAAAAAATTAAAAAAATAGTAATCTTTAGCTGATCAGCAATACTTAACAGATTTGGAAACACTTCCCGACTCCCAAATAATTTTTCCTGAATTTCTGTTATTCCGCCTTTTAAACCCGTCTGACCTGCTATTCGAGCACATAAAAGTAGTTTCACAAAATCACTTAGCAAATTTATCGACATTTGTCCAGATACTGGAAGATTGTGGCTTCTTGGAATGCTGAACCACTTCAGTAGTGCTTCTTCAACATTGATCTTCCTTGTGATCTGCTTTTCTCAACTTTTTTCTGACATTTAAATTTTTTTCATGAGCAGAAATTGTTAATTGCCCATTTTTCCATATGTTACAAACTGTAGATTTAGATAATTTATATTCCCTGCAAATATCAGCTTGAGTACATCCATTTTAAATTTTTCTGACTATGCCCATTTTATCATCAATGGAGAACATTTTGCGTTTACTGCTCGCCATAGTTAAATTTGAGACACTTGTTTGCAGGCTTTCTTTAACTGCACTGAGAGCAAAAAGGAGTTGAAATGAGGGCCTTATCAACACATATTAGTGTCCAACTCTTTGACCAATAATGAATAATTACTCATTCCCTCTGACAGAAAATGCATATTGATCCCACTGACACCTTACAGGTGCATCATCTGCCTGGGTTGTAAGCATCTGCTTGGTTTGTTTAGGGATGAGAAAGTGAGACAAAAGAAGCAAACAAGAAAAAATGCTTATCGCTACACTCCCCTCTATAGATAGATTTAAAAATCGGTATATGTATTTACTTTGAAGTAGACATTTCAAAATTATTACAAAAAAACAAAAAAAAAAATGAGGAAAAAAATCGGTCGAAGACAGAATAAAGTTCATTATATCCAACTTCTTCACCTTTTTGGTTCACTATATCCACAAAAAATAACATTATACGTGCATAGCAAAGCACGGGACCGAACATTTTGTTCACTATATCGGGGAGTTCACTATAGCGGGGTTTGACTGTATATAAAATTCAATTCAATTCTTACTTAGGTCAACAAAGAAATTTTAATTACTTTTTATTAAATAATTATAAGTTGAAAAAACTAACATAAATTGTCCTCCACTATAAGTTTAAAAATTAGTATTTGAGGATGAATAAAAAAGTATTTTATGAACGATTGAACAAGAGTGTGAACTATTAGTAGGAATTGAAAAATGACATTATAGCAAAATTTATTTGAAATTTTAGTGGTTGAGTTTTAAGTTTAAGTAATTAAAAATATTTAAAAGTAACAGGAAGATAAATTATTCAATCAAACGCAGTCAATCATAAAATAGGCAGTGAAATACTGAAGAATAAGATAAAAGTAAAAACAAGAATATACAAATGTATATAATTTCTAATGTATGCATTACAGGGTTCATCCTTGCCCGAAATAAGGGCAAGGTGCTAGAAACTAAAAATGACTCTAAATTGCCTCCAAAAAAGGAATTGCATTAAAAATATTTGCTTAGTTTTGCATTTAGTTACATAGAAATATTTGATTAGTTATCATTAAAAAAAATAGTATTTTTAAAGAGAAAAAGCTTAATTTAATAAGACCTCAGTTAAATTCATGCATGCTATAAATCAGTTTTTAAATTGCCCACAATTTTAAAATTTTGAAAATAATGTCGAAACGATTGAAAGAGAAAAAAAGACATATAACTGTAATAACTGCCGAAAATGTGATAAAAAGTAATTGCACATTTAATATGGAATCGTACCGAATAAAACACGCAAAAAGTGATAACTTTACTAAAATACAAAATTCAGCAGCTGTAACATCACATTAATTACATTAAAATTGGAAAAATGATGTGAAAAATCATAGCTGACGAAAAATATTACAGGGTCCCCACTCAATTTCCTAAAAAAAAAAATTCAAGGACTTTTCAACGACTTTCAAGGACCTATTCGATATTATTGTTATATGTTAAAGTACATGTCAACCAGATTTTACAATTACGTAGAAGCAGAAATTGACTTATTGAAGCACAATGCTTATTTGACAACAACAAAAAAAATATTTATTAAATTTATCAGCTAATAATACAAATGGTTGATAGTTACATTGTTGTTTCAAATCACTTTGAAAAATACCAATTGACAAAAAAAAAAAAAAAAACCAACATAGGATACTAGCCAACATTTGAAAACTAGCACTAGTGAAACTTTTCATGAAAAATTTAATGAAGTGAATTAGAATTAATAAAACTGAATGAATGTATAATGCATATTACATTAAGCAAGCATAGTAAATAATTGATAAAGTTTGTGTAATTGCACGGTTATTAAAATATAAATACTTGTTTTTAATATGTTGGATCAAATTTTAGGTTACAGAAAATGTCAATAATTAGATAAATTATGAAAATAAACCCATTTAACACATCTGTTTCAATTTTAATATAAAATTTTCTATTTTGTTACTTCAGAATATCACTAATGTATTTTGAACATAATAAAATCTATTGTAGAACAATATTTTACAGATAACTACTAATTAAGACTTACCAAGCTTTATTTTCTTTAAAATATATCCATAAAATGCAAATTTTGCGAGTATACCTAATTTTCACAAAGCGTAATTTTAAATTGCATTTATACAAAATTTAGATATACTACATGTAAACCAAAACGCAAAAACTAACAAAACATAAATCACAATGTGAATCGCAATGCGTGATTTGTAAACTTCTAGAAAGAGAATTGTGAGTCATGATTCTGAAATTACTTAAATACGTATCACGTTATATGATTCAGAAATAACTTTTCATGATGTGTGATTTATAAAATACCTTAAATTGAATTCTGATGAGTAATTTGCAAATCACTTTAAAGTAATATTTGATATGTGATTCATTCATCACTTTCAGTTAAACCGCAATTTGTAGAACATTTTATATGAATTCTGATCCGTAAATCAAGAATCAGCTTAATGTGAATCACGATGTTTATTCCTGATCAATGAAACCTGTAGAACTAAATTTTATTTATTAGCAGTAAAAACTAAATGTAAAAATTTGATTATAAATGATAAAACATTAATTATCCTTCATACATAAATTAAAAGAACAGATAGGATAACAATATTAACCAGTCATAATAATGAATTTAACACATTGAACATATTTCTAAATCAATTAAACACTATATATCATTCAAAAACTATGACTAAAGAACCTAAAATTTGCTAGAAATTTCAGCTTTCAAAACATCAGAGAGATGAACAATAATCTGGTCTGAAAAATCTAGGAGAGAAAAGTTTTGCATCCTCTTTAACCCCTTTTCACTTCAAGCATTAAAAATTGCATCGATCAGAAATTCTATAAGTTACCTTTGAATTCATTTAAATTTTTTTTATTACTTTTTTGTAAGAAAAATTAGCAGTATTTAATTCCTAAAAAATCAAGATCTTTTTAAGTACCCTATGGCAGAATTCAAGGACTTTCAAGTACCGTGGGAACCCTGCATTATGCAGGATCGACAAGGATTTACGATAAAATCGCTGCGAATGGAGCGAGCTCGTCAAAAAGTTACGCTTAAAATTAAAACATAAGCTTGTGAAAATGCTATTGAACATAACAAAATATCACAATAAGAAAAAACAAAGAGAAATGGTGAAGAAAAAAAAAGAGAAAGGAAAATGGCAACGAAATTACGACAGCGAGTTAGGGATCAAACGCAATAAAGAGTGATAAATTAAATTTTAAATTCACGTGTAATATAACATAATAAAAAAATCAGAGTTCGGCGAATAAAGAAAGAAAAAGATCACCAAGAAATGTGCAATTATATTGGTATCACAAATCAAATGTGTCAAAAATTAATAACTTAAATTCCAGCATTGTAAAAACATTTTATTAAAAATATTGAAATTTGAAAAAATTATGAGAAAAGTGCAGGAAAAAAAAGAAGATAAATAACAGACGAAAATTCATCAAAAACGTCAAAAATTACGATGGAATCATCACAAGTCAAACTTAGTACTAGATATATCTGGATTTGAAAAACTGTGAAAAGAACCGAAAAAATGATAATTAACGATGATTGAAAGGCACAAAATTTTACTTAAAAAATATAAAAAGGTGGAAAAATCTCTACCCTGTATTAAGCTACTAAATACTATTCTGGGGTCGCATTCATTTCATCGACAATCACTTCATCGACACACCATTTCATCGACNCGATGAAATGAACCAAACCCACTATTCTGTTACAATTCTAAACTACATTAACGTGCTTTGTGTATTTTAAAATACATTTAAAGTTGATACAAAGCTCACATTTTTAAAGATTCAAATATTTTTTTATACCCTATCAAACATTAATGAAAGATATTATAATAGCTACGGCTCTAAAACGAATTTCCATAAATTGATCAAAAAATATAACAAATTATTAATAAAAGATTTTTAGTATCAACGTTCTTCCCAAGTTAACATGGGAGCATAAACTAAACAAATGCTAATAGTTCAGTATTCATTAAGGTTCTGCAATTGATAAATACTCAGTCAGTAAATATAAAAGGTAATCAAATGTAGATGCAAAGATACTTGAGAAACAAATCAATAATTTCAGAAATATTTTGAACACTTCAATATTTTCAACATAAACACAGTGAAACTTTAAATACCTGACAGTAATAGTTTATGTCGACTATTTTGTAAAGTTTCCCGTTATTGTCGTGCTCTGGCCAGTTACGAAATGTCTCCTGTTAAAAATAGAAAACAAATTTGGTTTAGAATGAGCATACTTGTACAATCCATTAAATTATGCATTTGTAGATTATATAACAAGTTTAAAAAGAATAACTATCACTTTCATTTGAAATAATATTAGCACAACCCAGGTTTGGAGAGGGTTTTTTGCCAGGACAATGGCGAAAACCTAGTAAAAACCGGCAAAAACCAAATTATCTAAATTGCTGATAAAATATTATTACGAAATACTTGAAACAAATTTAAATGAATCATAAGGAATAATAATTTTGATACATTACATGAGAAAATTAATTTTAAAATATTAATAAAAGTGTAATAATTTTTAAAAGATAGAAAGTTTTTGACCTCTTTTCATTTTAGAATCCTTAAATAAATGTTTTTTTACAAATTGTATTTTTTTTACTTCCTCATAATAACTTTTGGTATGTATTATTTTACATTGTATCACTTCTACACTATATTTAAAGAGAGACATAAGAAAGCTAAGATGGATAAGCAAATTTAAAAAATTGCATTGATACTTGTATATTTTAATTAACGACACATGTTGATAGATATTTTATGTTTCAAATTATAGTTATATTAATGTAAAATAAGTTCATTTCACTGGAAAAAAGAGAATAATCGCAAATTTTCCAATCAACAATGTTTTAAACTACTAAAATACATTATGATTTAATTATGGAATAATAATTTTGTTAATTTTTTTTTTAATTATATATTTTTATAGAATATATTTAAATTTTAGGAATAATTTTGTATCAAAAATGTGTTTTTGCCCCCTAATAATGGAAAATATAGGTTTTTGCTATCCTACTTGGCAAAAACCTGTTTTTGCCAGGACTGTTTTTAGCGTGGTTTTTTCCACCTGTGGCAAAATCTTGCCAACCCTGGCACAACCAGTGATGTAACTTTGTCCCCCGGGGCAATAATGTTTTGGCCTTTTTAAAAATTTTCTGTTCTTGATATCATTTTAGCTATTTATGTATCATGCTACTTATGAAAAACAAGCTATTTGTTCACATATAAATTGGATTACAAAATATTGTAAGTTTTCCACATGGCAAAATCCTGAGTGAATTAAATTTTTTAAAAAAAACCCGATTTCTCAGGAACTCCTCAACCCATTTCGTTTTGTAATTTTTCATGTGGAATTAAGATGCTTTAAAATGAGGCTAAAAACCTTACACTTTTCAGACAATTATTAAATAAATAAATATTTACTAAAAGTTATTTTTTTGCCTGGAATTATCTTTAGATAATCAGGGGTCTGTCCAGGCCGAATTTACTATGCGGTACCTTCACAAATTCAACTTTAGGAAAATATTTTTTCCTAAAATTTCATTTTTGCATCCCTTAAGAAACGATAAATCCATATTTTTGTGTTGATAAATATAATTTTTCACAAATTATGTCCAAATTTTCACAAAACAGGTACCTCTCAGAAAAACCTAGACAGACCCCTGATAATAGAATTTTATAATTGTGTGCAAAATTTTGCAATTCTCTTAAAAAAGCTCTCGAGCTATGGCAAAAAATAAAATTAACATTTGGGGTTCCAATTCCTCACCTGACCAAATCATTGGGACCCTATTTCACATATTACCCCCAATACTACGGGGGGTTAGAAAATCTGTTGAATAAAAGTTACGTAGAGAAAGTATCTTTTTGTGCCACATTAAAATAAAATATTGTATGCACCAATTTATTAGCGTACTTGAGGTCTGGGGCCTCAACATTTCCAAAATCTAGTGGAATCACAAAAAGTATTCTTCTTTCACTTTATAAAGTCATCTCATAACTTATTGTTGCAACAGTTTAGGATAAAGATATATAGCTACTGTAATATAATTATCAAGTTATATTTCCAATCAGAATAATATTCCACTACGTAAAATTTTGTACAGCCAATGCATGCAATTAAAATAATAAATACGGAAAATTTTAAAGCAGTAGTAAAACTTTTTGCACCGTAAGTAAATAAGACAAAAAGTATTTAACAAGTTTGCACAGCAACTAAATATAAAATACAAATTTAAAATTTTATTCCAAAATTGTAAATACATTTCTGTATAAATAATTTTCCATTTGGATTAACTTTTAATTTTAACTGTTTGCAAGGCCCAGGGCCCCACTTAGCCTGATTGGGGTCGGGGACAAAAACTTCTTTGGGGGGTCCTTCTGCTTCACTAATGAAGAACCGATCTTTACGGAGGTATTTAAATTTTTCACCTCATATAACAAGAAAATTGACTAGAATCTCCAATGGTCAGACGAAATATCGTCTTGCCCACTTTTGAGATTTTCTGACAATTCTATGTCCATCATGCCGAATGCAGTTTTCTGATTGTTAACTTTGCCATCGAGCTGCAAAAAATTCATATCCTTGCTGACATCAGGGTGGAATCTAGCTAAATTTTCGCAATGACGATGGCTCTACGAAGCAGATCAGAGGCGCGTATTTTTGTAAGCATATCGCATTTTGCGCTGTGTAAAAATACAGGCTTTGGATTGGCCCAATGTGTCCATCGTCATTGCGAAAATTTAGCTGAATTCCGCCCTAGAAAGCCATGGATTTACAAAATATAGATATTTTGTGTTCATACAACAGATTAATGAAGAAGCTAACATAAAACTGACAGATTTTGCACAGTACTGATATTTTGTTTAAAAAAAGTTCATTAAAGAAGGAAACCTAAAATAAACTTTCTATTCGATTTTGGGACCCCTCTGATGTGGAGCCAGGGGCAACCGCCTTTGGAAATGCCATTAAAACTCACTTTTAGCTGTTTCTTTTTGTCCAGAACTCTGTCAATTGAATACATTAAGAGCTCTTTCAATCTAGTACAGGAAAAACTCTCCTTATCACCAATTATGGAATCCTGCTGACATTCTGTACAAGCACCTTCACTATCAAAAAAAGTAGGACTTCTTATACATTTGGCATGATAAACTCTAGGGCACTGAGAGCAACCTTTCCCCTGCTTTGATAAAGTATGGCAAATCCAACAAAATTTGTCAACCTGAAATAAAAGAGATATTTAGACATACAAAATTTTTCATAATATTGACATGCTTTTACAGGGTGCATAGCCAAATCTTTTCACAAAAAATAAGCACTTTTTAAGCACTCAAAAAATATTTTTAAGTACTATATACATTAACAAAATAATTTTCAAAGACTCTACATGATCATGATAAAATAACTCATTTCTGACAAAGAACACTTTTTCTTGATTATATTAGCCATTACAAAATGATCAAGAGAAATTTTTGGTGAAATATCAGAGGGACGAAAACAAAGCCTGAAATTGAGAATATTTTTTGCAAAATGTAGCAGAGTGACACACGAGAGTGCAATAGTCTCACCGAACCCAGTTCAGTAGACGCATATGCGGACAGTATTTCATCAAACATGTAAAATGATGGGTGCTCTCAAATGCTATGGACAGGCGTTACGTTGAAATAGGTTGTGGGTGGATGAATTGTGAAAATGTTGAATAGAACAGTATGAAAACTATGCTTTTTGCATAATTTGTGGCAAAAATCAAGAGGGTAGGTAAGAAAAGTCTTATTTTGGAAAAGGAAAAAAACTCTTCAAAAACGCAAAATGGAAAAAGCACCTTTCAAAAATGCTACGCAATCTGTATAACACTCAGCATTAAAATAATAATTCTTAGTGATTAATTTTATTTGTAAGAATCTTAGTGATTAATTTTATTTTTAAGAGTCTACGTATTCAATGAACAAATGCTTTGGCTCCCTTGCATATGGACATTCCTATCAGAGTTCAGTTCATAACAGCCAAATTACTTTTCATCAGAAAGCGCCCTAAGTAAAAAATAGCATTTTTTACTTTCTCCCTTTGCAAAAAAATATTTTTTAACTGTTTCTATATAATCCACATTCTAGTTGCCCAATTGTAATAAAACAGGAGACTTGACGGGCAAGCATAATGACTGTTCTTAATATAGATTTCAAAGCTGTTATCAAATATGAAGTGGAAAAAGTATCCATAGGTAGCTGCAAATTAATATTTAAACAAGGAAAAAAATATACCTTTTTTGATATAACTTTCCAAAACTAGACCTAAGAAACAAAATCTAAGTTTCGCTAAAATTTGCACTTTTTGTTAGTGCTTATTAAAATTAAAACGTCTTTCTCTTCTGAAATCAATAACATGAGAAATTAACTATTTTATTGTACATTAGAAAAGAAGGAGAATAGATAAAAAATAAATTTGTTGAATAATTTAATCAACTGATTAATATTAAACATGAATGAACATTTAACCAGATTTTTCAGACTGAGGACATTTAACTCAATAATTAACCAAATCAATCTTTATGCAACTTAAATTAAATTAAACTAAACTCAGAGATCGACGGCTCGTAGAGGGCAAAGGCCTACTGTGCCCATTTCAGTTTTCTTGACCATTGGGATGCAAGAGCAGATGTTCCGCTTGGGCGATCAACTCAATGCGAATCCTCCAATGTTTAGTTCCCAACAACGCTCGGTACTAATTTTATCGACCCACCAAAGGGACGAGAGGTCGAGTCGACCTCGGCCGGCTCGAGGACCAGTAGCACGACAGCACAACCACTCAGCCACATAAATTAAAATTAAACAAAATATTAAGATATAATGCATAAACATGCAAGGTAAATAAAAAATAAAAACAATAAAAAAAAGGCTTTCTTTTTTTAGATTTGTTCATTAATAAATATTACAGATAAGTTAATTCAAAACTTTTTTTTGTAGGAGATAAAAAAAAAATACTTTTCACCAGAATAAGCAAAAAAAATTTTTTTTTAATTTATAACAAAAATATAAGGTAAATTTATGCATAATTTAATTAAGTAACTCAGTAATTTTTCTTTCTTCCTTTAACTAACAAAAAATTATCTTCATTAATCGCAAAAAATAATAAAGTAAACTAAACATGGGGAATATTTACATAATCACGTGAGCCAAAATAGTATTAAAATTTAGAGGAAGCAACTAAACATCTAAGTTACCAGTAATAAAAAATTTTTGGTGCGTTGGCATGAATAGAATACAATATCAAAAAATCCTCCAACAATGAATTAAATAAGCATAAATGATTTACCTTATTAATGTGCATCTTTCCTGAAGGTAAATTTCCTGTTTGATTCTGTTTCAAACACTTTTGCTTTTCTATAAGAAATAAATGAGTAGAATTAAGAGAAACAATACATTATGGAAACAATGAACATTAACAAAAAATACAAATAAAATGTTTTAAAACAGTGAATTTTCAGATATCTTTGAAAAAAAAAAATAGGAGTATAGTACTTCTTTAAAAACAATATAACTTAAGTAGAAAGAAAATAGCTTTGATATCTATGAATAGCATTAAAGCACCAGAAATTTCCCCATAAAAGGTACAAAACCAAGAAGATTTTATAAAACGATATAATTTTATGTAAATTATTATACACACATTAAATAAGTACTTTATATACATACATTATGTAAATTATCATACACCTGCCAGGGGTCTGTCTAGGGTATATTTACTACCGTTTAGCGGTACCTTCACAAAGTCAACTTTAGGAAAAACGGTAGTTTCACAAAATACTTTTAATAAAGTAAGTTCGCATGCAAACCCCCTTCTCCTTGCAATCTAGGTAAAAGATGAGCTTTTTTTGCCAGATGTCTTTTACGAAAAGGTAGCACATGTTTGGTCAGACTGTTCAATCCAACTGTTCGCTGACGCCATATCAAAGCGAACTTAGCCGAGTTTTATAAAATGAAACGAGAGTCTCCCTTTGTAAACTTTACAGAAAGTCAAAATTCGAACATTATTCTAAACATTCGAACACTATCTTAAACACTATTGTAAATTTATTCTAACTGATCTTTATTTTTTATGAAACATTTCTTTTCTCAGTGAAACTTTTTTTTGTATGATGTTCTTTCTTTCATTTTTTGAAAGAACAGGATAAAAACATTTCATATCTTAATAAAATCTGACTATGAGTAGGGATTTTGTTACAAATTCAGATATTCCGAACATCGGAACACTGTAAAATTGGGGGGAGGGTATATTCCATTTTAAAAATGTGATTTTTTGGCAATCTAAATCCATGACTTTCCATGATTCTTTTTTAAGAGTAGTTAAAATCATGACATTTCATGACAAATTTTGTTCAATACCGAAATCCATGACTTTCCAGGTGCGCAGATACCCTGTAAATTTCTCCATGAAAAAATTCCCCATTATTTCTGATCCATCATTTTAGCTATTAAAAGATGTGAGTAGTTTTTTTTACACCTTTATTCTGACAGCATTATAGTATTTTTGCTAGTATTTATAGCATCTCTTTTCCCTATATATATATATTTAATAAATCAATTATTGATAACAAGGTAAAAATTATTTTAAAAAATATCATTTTCGTTTTAATTAAAAGTATTTAATTTTCAGAAAATATGTCACTAAGTTTACTGATAAAAATATTTAATGTTTAGAACATCAATTTTAAGATAAAAATTATCATATTTGTCACCAACATGTGTGCAACCCTTCACTCACTCAAAAAGATTGTGCACCCCTAAATTTTAGTTGCATTTTTTTAAATTTTAATTGTCAATGAAAAGCTGAGTAACAAAATGATTTTGAATAAGAATTTTTCATGAGCTTTAACAATAGCTTGAAAATATACAAAAATTGGAAGAAAACAATCAAATTTGGAACTAGACTAAACATATCAAAATGTTCCACGAGGATTTATAAGGATAGCAATGACACATTTAAGCATACCAAGAGCAAAATATTCCATGCTCAGATGCATCATATAATTCAAGAGGTAAAAGTATACATGGTCAAACATCTTAAGTACATATTGGATTGAAAAAAAAAAAAAAACATTTAAAGATTAATCCTTAGCCTTACAGGGATAGACTGAGGAATATATTAAAATATTTCTTTGCACATAAAAGAAAGCACAAAACTAACCTTTGTCTTTAGTTATCCACTCCTTACTATTTAATCTAAAAAATTAACAAACGAAATTAGTATAATACAATAACTTTAAATACACACTCTTTTAAAAAAGTTGAATTTTGTTGCACTGATTTTAATAGACATTAAAGATTTTGAAAATAAATGGAAGAATAGAGAAAGTATAGTTTAAACTAGAAAAATTACAGAATCATATTGCCTTCTAATTTTTTAAAGAGGCATAAAAAATATTCGGCCACCATTCGGGCCCTTAGGCCAAATATCTTTTGGAAAATATCTACCAACAAATTTTCTTTGAATTTAAATAGGTTTAATAAAGAATAGTCTAAAATCATATTTTTAACGATACATTATTAGAAATAGTTTTCAGATGCATTTCTCAAGTTCTAAAAAATCATGTGCTTGCACAAAAGTTTTTTTATTTGCAAATTTATGCTTTGGAAGACAAATGGAAAAATTACTGCTGCTTTTTTTAAAAATTATATTCGAGCAAGTCTATTTAGTTGTTTTTTTCTTGTTGTTTATTAAAATAACCAGCAACATAGATTACTGTGATTTTAAATGTTAAAGTTTTGTTTTAAGAACAATTGTTTTTTGTTTTACAATTGCGTTTTTTATTACGATACAACATTTTTGAAAATGCAGTTCGATTAAACTTTATTATTTTATCATCACTTTTTTATAAAAACACAGCATTTTGTCTTTTAAAAACCAAAAAATGGCTTTTGTTTTTGCTACCATCGAGGTTTTTTTTAAAAAAGAAAGAAAAACTTAACTATGTTTTTATAATGATGTTTGAGAGTGTTTCTACAAGGCTTCATTCTTTTCCTTTTCCTGAAAAAACAGCTATTGGAAAACTAAGATGTTCAGTTTTAAAATTTTCTATCAAGAATTAAAACAAATTTTTATTTTTTCTATTCCTCTTTTCTATCTACATATTACTTTGTTTTTATGAGAGTTTTTAAGATAGCACAGCATTTTTAAAATGTGTTTTTGATACACTATATTTCTTTCTACTATTTAATTCTGCTTTATAGATGTAGGTACCTTTTTCTGAAAAATATCACTTTGGTTTGAAAATTATTTTGGAAAGCATTAAAGGTCTGATTCGAGAGGATATTTTTTCCTATTACTATCTTTTTCTCAGTCTAACAACTTTTTACTTAACATAAACAAGTTTTTATTTTTACTACTACTATAAACAAGTTACTACAAGGGATTACTATAAACAAAATTTACGATATGTAATTATTATTTTTACCCGTAAATACTAACAATCAAACAACTCTTTCCTGTGCCATACCATTTAGCTTCTACAACATTATCTTAAATTAATACAATCTATATGAAATATTTGGAAGTTAAACTTAATAAAGAATATTTTTAATTTTGAGAGTAGTTAGGGATGGTAGAATTGTTTTCGACAACCTTCATCTATGAAAAGGTACCCCACCATAGAATTGAGTTAACATATATACAAGTGAATTGGAATATTTTTGTATTACAGTACTCCCCCCACAGGAGTTTTATCTGTGATAGAAATCGATGAACGGAAACCACTAGTTCATTCAGTGCTGTTTTGTAAGAAGCCGGGAGAGCTGTATTAAGATCACCATACTTTTGAGTTATGATCGTGAGAGCTGTATTAAGTTCACGGTCGTTATCTTTCCTAAGTTGCCACGAGCAGTCGAGTGTATACAGGCCAATAGTGTGATTGATCAAGACGGAGTAGCGACAACGCAAGGAGGTGGATAATGTCGCAAGTAGAAAGTCAACTGTCCCATGTGGACAATCCATCGAAGTGGGCATTTCTGTCAAGGTAGACGTGTTCACATCACACCTAAATGTGGGGGGAGTAGAAATCGACAATGTCAAACTTCATCTATGAAAAGGTAAGTCAACATAGAATATTTTTGTAGCGGTAGATACAAATATTTTCAATTTTGAGAATAATAACCCCTTAATGAGAGAGTTAATAAACTAAAAAAACACAGTCGGTTATCTTGTGCACTTATAAGATAATTTAAATATTACTTGGATCTCAGTTTATTTCTTGCTCTCAAATCCATATTTCAGGCACTTTCATTCAATTACCTACAATAAGATTAAATTTCAAAATTATATTATTATGGAACAATAAATATAGAAGTAAATTTCAATTAATTACTTTAAAATTAAATATAATTAATACAGGGTGCGTAGCCAAATCTCTCAACAATCACCTTTTAGTACTTTTTAAGCACTCAAAAAATATTTTTAAGCTGCGCACCATATACAATAACAAAATGCTAGATAATTTTCAAAGAATTTACATGATCATGATAAAATAACTAGTTTCTGACAAAGAACAATTTTCTAGATTATATTAGTCACCATAAAAAGATCGAGAGATATTTTGGTGCGATATCAGAGGGTGGAAAATGACGTCTGTAATTGAGAATATCTTGCAAAATGCAGCAGAGTTGCACAAGAGAGTGCAATAATCTCCTCGAACCAGTTCAGTAGAAGCACATACGGACTCACAAGTATTTCATCAGGGCGTTTTCATACACTACGACAAAATGGATTGTTGTTGAATGAATTGAGAAAACGTTGAATAGAAAAATGTGAAAAGCACGCTTTTGCATAATACGTGGCGAAAATTGACACAGTAAAGAAAAAAATCTTATTTTTGAAAAAGGAAAATTAAGCACTTTTCAAAACACCCAATGACAAAAGCACCTTTAAGGGCTTTTAAAAAACAAAAATAAGCACCTTTAAGCGCTTTTTAATAGCGCTATGCACCATGTAATAATCATATTTTTTAGTATAATATAATAAATACTTGTAGCCAAAAAAAGCTTTTTCAAATAGTAATGAAATAGAACCCATGTTTTGATTCTTCTAGATTATAAGGAACAAACAGTGGATCTGGATAAATAGAAAAATTATTAAGCATTAAAAAAAAAAAAATCCAAGCATAAAAAGTAGCAGGGTTCAAGTTTGGACGTCCTAGACTGGTTCTGAACAGGATACTTGAGTTTTACTGTCCTAAACTGTCCAATACCTTGAACATTGGTAAAAATTCTATATGTGTAACCATTGTACATATAATAATTACATATACAGTCAAACCCAACTATAATCGAGAACGCAATAAATGAATTATAAATTTGGAATTTTTTTAAAAAAACACAGAAGAGGTTTGCCTAGGTGTTTATGTGTTTCATCATTGGAGTTAGCCGCCTTCTGTGACGTCTTTTTTAGTTTCTCGCGGGCCGCTGCTCGGAAATCGCCAAAACTTGGCTATTATACTGTCGCAGATCACGATCCGGAAATCCTACCCCTATCCAATGCACACTTGGGCAAACTTAACACGCTTCTTCAAAATAAATAACTGCAAGTGTAAAATAAATTTCGTTTCTTGATGACTGTAGTTGGCGCGACAGATTACGATACTGAATTTCATATAACAATTATAAAATTGAAATAACACAGGTGAAACAACATGGATTAGCAGATCCAATTCAAGGTCTGACTCTATAGATCTAGGAAAAATAATCATAAGTTTTTGCTCTGCATATAACTTAATACATACTTTATTAACGGAAAAATTCTCAAAATTAAAAACAATAAACGGGTAAAAAATAAACATAAGACAAGAAGGAGCGTGTTTCTTGATTTTATTTTCCCGCAAAGTGTTGTTGCCATTTTCAATAAAAGAAATATAGTTGCTTCAATTATATTCTCACTAAGGCTCTGATTTCACTAGAAGACGTTGCAAGCTTTTAAGTGTCTTTTTTTATTTTTTTATTCTTTTTTTTGTGAAGCTATTTGTTCACAACGTGATCATTGTATTTTGAGACTCTCTTGCGTAGAATTTCTTGCATTTGTTACCTGATGTATTATTTGTGCTTAAAAGAAGAATCGTTTCAAGAATAGTCATTTGAAGACCACCCTTACAGAAAAATTAAAGGGTACAAATGAGGTTGCTAGTAAGTCGTTAGGTTAAAAAGGGTGCAAATAAATACCTCAAAATTTTCCTCAAATATGTCTTAAATATACCTCCAGAGGTATATATGTATCAACCTGAGGTGTTTCATCATATATCTGTGGACAGGTAGATATTTACTACTTTAAGGTGTTTGGTTTTTCAACCTTCATTGGTACAACATACATTTGCAGGCTTATGTGCTCAATTAAGGCTTATAAACCTTTGTCAAGTAGAAGAACAGATAGCACAATACAGAGAAAGACATCACAAAGAATAAATCTAGGGTTACGGCGGGATTCGACCCCGCCATTCCCACGCTTAACAGAATGTTTGGCGGGTGATACCGCTCGGCCAGGGAGGCCCCTTTTCAACCTTAAGTTCTTACGTATTGTGGAGGTACGATTTTTGAGAGAAATAAGTAGACATGCTACTTTTAATAATATTTACATAATCATTGCCAGATTAACCACTGAGCAAACTAAGCACGTGCGTGCGGCACCTGAAGTAAAAGGGCACCACAAAGCATTAATGAGAATTTTTTTTCTTCTCTAGATATATTTTTCTTTCACATTTTAATTCGATTATATCCCAGAAAGCNAGGTTTACATGAAAAGGTTTTTGTTGGGTGAAAAAAACCTTATATTGCTATCTGGGTATTGTTGTAGTAGTTCATTTACGTCGCACTAGAGCTGCACAATGGGCTATTGTCGACGGTCTGGGAAGCATCCCTCAGGACGATCCGAAGACATCCCAGATAGCAATATAAGGTTTTTTCAACACAACAAAAATCTTTTCACGCAAACCTAAAAAGGGTTTTTTACACGG